ACACAAGTTTAGTTTATGCATGATGCATGTATATGTAGTCGGTACACATGTATAATTTCTCGTTGTTTTTGTTGAGCGTAGTGTAGGAGTTAAGCATTAAATTTCGTTCGACTTCCAGAAACAGTATCAAAATGAGTGAACGATGGGGTGCCATAGATAGCTTGTTGACCCGTAATGGGCCGTTTACTGAAGACTTCGAGCCGGATGTTAAGGTACGATATAGCATCAACACGCCTAGCATGTTGGCTTGCGATGTTCAAACAGAGGTAGGATAGCCGTGTGTGTGCACTTAACTTGCCATGAACATTGGTTGCCAACTTATTTGCCTCAACCTATCTATTTTAAATGGGCTTCTGTGCGTTGTCAATGTTTTTATCAAATTACACGAGTTCCGTCGCGTCAACTGAATTTCTATGTTATTGTGTGTCTTGTGTTTTTATCGATATGTATAAAGTTTGCATGTACCATACCACCACAGTCGTAGCACGTATCGCCTTCTCTGTCGTCAGTGTGCCAAACTAATTCACAGTTGCACTGCATCTTATCAATTGAACGTGTAGATTCGAGAGGATTTCCTGCATCAGGACAGTCGTATACTCGTAGTGGGTGCTGGTGGGCTGGGTTGTGAGCTGCTTAAGGATTTGGCGCTCTCAGGGTTTGGTCATATTGATGTGATCGACATGGATACAATCGATATATCAAATCTCAACAGGTATCAGACCCACCCAACCAAATGTGACATGCGTGTGGATGTCCGGGGTGCCGAGCCAGTTGACAATAGGGTCTCAACTTGTCTGTGTTGTGGTACATTCATAACGGAATATGGTCGAGTATCAGGTCGTACTGTGCTGTCTTGGTTGTATAAGTCTCGATTCACTCATCCTTTGGATGCGTTCGTCGCGCAATATCAGTCTACACCTGAGGCTCAAACTAATAGCTGTTCTCAGCTGAATGCATATGCATGAGAATGACTTCTCGTCTTGTACATTTTCCTCGATCCATCGATATCTGTGTCAATAGTAATTCAACTCAATACATTTACCTGTGTTTGAGCACCCGGGGTAGTAGTTCTGATATGGATTGGACTACTAAAGGCTACTAACACAGAAGTCAGATGCCTTGTGTATCTAGTAGAGATATTGCTCGGGTGATAGAAATAATCAAACCTTCTCTGTACCGCATGCTTCATACTAGTTGCGTATTTTTTATTTTTCTTTGGCGCGCGCGCAGAGCCGTCCTCATGTTATTCAACTAAAACATACATTGCTTGACGCCCGGTTGAACCTATCGCTTACACCTTGGCTATATCCAGGCAATTTCTGTTCCGGTCTACGGATGTTGGAAAACCCAAGGCAACCTGTGCGGCTAAATTCATTAACAAACGTGTGGAAGGGTGCCACGTTACACCGTAAGAGATCGTCCTGCATACAGTCTGTGTGATGCCCTGAGGTTGCCCTTGTTCGAACAAAATGTTATGTAGTAGCCGCAATCGTAGACCATACACACTATCTCTGACGACTCGAAATTTGCTCTGGCGTAACAGATTCCACATGCATCACGAGATTTATGGGTAAACATAGGTACTCCTTTTCTGCCTGTCTGAGCCTCCTCTAACCTCATTTGGATATTATATTCGTACGTTGATACATCGCGCTACTGTACGCGAGTATACGCTTCTGATTGACTTAGAACATCGCGGCGCCCACTTTCACCGAGAATGTGTTGTTATAGAATGACAATATACCGCTTCACCTCCATCACTTCCCACACACACAGCCATGTGTGCCGCATCCAAGAAAAGAATGCCGACTTCTATGACCAGTTTCATATAATTGTCTGCGGTCTGGACTCGATTGAAGGTGAGTTGGGTACATACACGCGCATGCGCTTACAGGTGAATGGCTGCCTGATTCAATTCAGTCGCTCGTTGACGCTACAACGTGTTCAAGTTTACACATTCAGAATGGAACCGATAGGAACTAATATACGGAGACACATTTGTTTAATGGGATGTTGGTACAATACGTGTAGTCTTACTTAGCACGCGGTTAACTGTTCTAAACATAGGTATATATATATATACGTGGATTGATCATAGTATGACTAAGTCGTTTAGATGCTTTCACTTCTAGATCAGGAACTGAAGGTTTTATATTCCCCACCCCCTCACACCTTGTTTATATCGAATTACAGCGAGACGGTGGATGAACAGCATGCTGCACAGTCTAGTGAAGTACGACGATGACAACAATCTTATAGCCATGATTCCTATGGTAGACGGTGGGTCTGAAGGTATGCCTTTTTGAATGCATAT